TCAACGCTGCAGCATGTAGTTCAATGGACGTTCTTTCTCCTTCGTCAGAACAACTGTCCCCATGCCGTACAACAACAGTAACCTGACAGAAGCAAGAAACAGGAAGATTTTTGTGGAAAAGGCTGCCTTCTTCTCAACCCATACATTCGATAGATTACAAGACGCCCTGGAGGGGAGGGCGATGCCCAGATTTAATTCTGATTGGATGATGCCATCGCTGGAGATGGATGAACCGAGATACTTAAGTAGTCGACATCCGCAATGGCTTTGTTCCACTAGTAGATCAACCCTGTCTACTGGGTTGTTCACAATTTTAAACTTTACGGAGCTAAAGGTAGAAACAGGCTTTCGTACTATGAGATCGTCGAAAAATTGACTCCAGAAAATTGAATAATTGCAAATGGACAATACAGTAAATGACTGTGAGTCAAAGTTGACCGGAGAAATATTTTTTCAAGACTTTTGGTATGCTGCTGTAGAGACAGGGCCGAAGAGGATGAAAGAACCATATCAGTAACTAGCTACACTGCAGTCTCACTTTATGCCATTATTATTAGTTTGTTAACAGTTATGACTTGATAGTAGTGAGTGGCTAGTTAAATAAGCTGATATGTTTCATCATGTTCATGACAGGCAGTCCTTCAATCTGGCTTGTTTTCGTCAGCGGCAGGACTCGAAGTTTCGTCACTCCTTCCGGTATTCTGCCGCTTATTTCCACCGTTTAGTAAGCAATTCGTCAGTGAGTGATCACTGCGGTTTGTGGACAACCGAGTGGACGCCTGTTGCCAGCAGGGGGACAGGTGGTAACTTAGCATATCCACGTGTTGTCCTTCAGAGAATCTACATGGCTAGCCCATCGTCTCTGAGTTGTTGGCGGCAGTGATTACATCTAAAAGTAGTGTCTGATACCAAACCATCGCGTTTGGAACATCGTCTCGAACTTTGGCATAACAAACTGTTATTTCGATCGACCTCTGGGTTGTTACCAGTTACTTGTCCTGAACCTTTATGATGCATCAGCATTCGTGCCATAAGTCTTGCCGAATAGTTATATCTTTATGGATATAGACAGTTGGTTATCCACAAGCAATTTTCCATGCGACTGAAACGTATTCATGTCGCCTTCCATTTTCTGCTGATCTCATCGTTGATGTTGTTACTGAAGATTGTTTGGAGGCCGAGGTATACGTAGTCAGCGACATTTTTGCTTCTTTGTCGTCAATACAGTGCTCATTGCGCATCCATTTCATATTGCAGATGTTCATCTCCAGACCGATGGTGCACGTCCCCGCTACAACAGCACAATCTTAATTTGAAGTTCCGCTGGGTCTTTGGCAAAAATTATGGCATCGGCTGCAAAGAGCAGACGGACCAGCCGTTGTCCGACGGTGTTAATGCCGCGGCTGCAGTTCAGACGGTTAAAGAGAGGGGGAGACTGGAGCGCCTTCAAGAAAACCTTGGCGTACTTCCGTTTTAATGATGATACGACAGCTTTCGGTGTCAGTACATGGTTCCTGGATCGGGTTGACGTAGACACACTTGATATTGCGGTCGTGAATGGCGCTCAGGTCAATGGAATCGACAGAGAACCATCGGATGCTGCGTACGAAGGAGAACCATCATGGAAAACTGGTTGGTTATTTACTAACGAGCGGTGACGTGTCTTTCCGCACTCGGTTGAGGATGATTCCATTAAGAATCAAGTGAGAGGATGGTGATGAGTCAATAGTTCTCAAGTTCTTCAGCATCACTTGCCTTGAAAATAAGAATCGTCGAAGGGCTCTTCATGATTCTGGAGTGCTCTTCATCCTGATGCACTACATAGATAGTTCGCCAATTGTTTCGAATGGGGTCCTTCCAAAAAGGAGAGTGTTCCAGACTGCAGTTGTCTTGTGCCGAAGCTCGGACTCTGGCAAAGGATCAGGAAGGTTGGAAGCTGTCTGACGCGTCTGCCTCCTCGACCAGAAAGGATTAGCGGCCATGGAAGTTGAAGATGAAGGATCTATGTTCTTGACTTGAGATTTCCCGGTTTTATGCTTTGTCTTGATATTCTTGATCGCCCAGTCTGCTTTGTCCTAGCTGACATCAGGAACGCTTTCCGGGGCAACTTGCTATGCTTTCCGGTTAACCTGCACCTGAGAAGAGTACAGGATTTTGCAGAACCTCATGTAGATCGCTTTCGTGCAACACGGATCTGCGGTCCTTGTTCTTCCGTCCTTTATTGCAACCAGAACCCGCATTTTCTGCGGCCGCCGTTCCATTCTTCTTTAGCGCCTTCCCGCACCTCAGCTTTGTTCTCCCGTACTCGTCGCATTCGTCCCGAAGCTTCTTCCGCATTTTTAGGCAAAACACAATGTTTTAGTCTTGCGGTTTGCCATCAATCCTGATTCTGAATTTTTTAACCTTCGTTGCAGAGCTGGTGCATTGTTTATCTACCGTTATTGTTGTCTGACAGGATGAGCGGATAGCAGCTTTGACGGTTTTGTTGAGGTGCTGATTGTCTGCGTTGATGCTTCCGCTGATGTCTATTGCGAGGTTCAGCTGAGGAAGCTTGTCCACGAAAGGTCTGTAACCTAAGAATAGTCCATTACCGATGGTTTTGTGTTCTTGTAGCCTGATGTTCGTAATCGACATCAATCGCGACTGTGAACCAGGGTCACCGGCGGTCCGATCCAGTGCAGACAATGTTTGATTCAATTACAGACATTTATGTCTTTACCCGCATTATGTCCATCAGGACGTAATCAGTTCGGTTAAGGGTAATTCCATTTGGGTTCCTCTGCGTCCAGTGACCACCGTCAGTTCTAGCGTTTTCGAGGATTACTGACAGTATGAAGAATATAAACCTTTATCTTATCAAACAAATTCACTTTTACCTTTCGGCTGACTATCCTTCAGCAATGGACATGGAACCAATCTGAGATCATTCCACTGGGCATGCGAAACGTTACTGACATCTCTATTTTCTTGGATAGGATGGCTAATTTCTAATGAAATCACATGGATTCTGCAGACTAAACCGTTGCGCAATAAGTAAATCACTTTTAAAGACATATCGATGGGTCCTTCAGGATGAATGTCGACAAAGTCTGAATGTTCTAAACCTTAATCACCTACACAATCGTGTATGTATTCTCCATTCATTGGTTTTTGATAATTACCTTTTCAATGTCCATATTATTATTTCATTATATTTCACCTGTACCCTTTATGCAGAAAGTTAGTATTTTTTTCTGGTGATTTCTTTGATCTGCGACTCATCACTACGAAAGTAACTCTGTCGTTAGTGTCGGATTCGCATCGAAAAATTCTGGGCTAGAATCTCAACAAGGGGAAATTGTGCTTCATCTGTCTGAGGCAAACAAATAAGTACCATTGTGTAGTAAGGAATGTGGAAATAGCACAAATCTGTAACTCGTTCAAAAGGCATTGATAGTTGAAAAATGGTCATCATCGGAAGAAACAAGTGTTCCTGAACTGGTCATAAGTTTCCATTGAAAATTATGCAAGGACGAAAACTATAACGATTTAGATGGCGAGAAACAACAAGAAGAAGCAGTCAAGCTGAAGAAATTCCAGACATCTTGCTGGAAGATCAGCGACATCGAGTAAGACAAACGAAAAAAAATAAGGGCTATCAGCGAATGCGGAACTCAAGTCAAACCTGTGGAACCGGAGGGGGGGGAGGTGGAATATTCATAAGAAGTTTTAACCCTGTTTGAAAGAACCGATGGTTGCAGACAATTGGACTATCGCGACGATGATTCTGTTCAACAGAAAAGGAGAAATATATAACGTTTGAAGAAGTCAGTTTGTTGCCAGTCATAAACAAAGTGTTCACCAAAGTACAGATGAACAGATTTTAATAAACACTTGACGCCGCACGGTGTAAAGGGCAAGTGGGATTCAGAGGCGGAGTTACTACGATGGATTATCTCTAAATGGTACAACAAGCAATTCCGACAACCAGCGAATATCTGTTTCCATTTGTATTGGATTAATTGATTTCGCGAAAGAATTCGAGTTAGTGTACGTTTCAGCTGTCATAGGTGCCAAGAGGTGCTATGGAATCCAGAAAAGATTCTGGGATAGACAGGGACCTCACTCATTGCTGTGATTTGCGTGAATATAACAGATGGCATTACGCTTTAACGGAGACACAAACAAATTAAAAATCGAAATGAATTTTCGAATGGATAATACAATATCACCGACGTTGTTCCCAGCAGCCCTGGAATAGGTTCTCAAGACACTCCATTGGGAAAATCATGAGCCGAAGGTAAATAGCCACTCTTTTAACCAGCTGCGATTTGCCGACGAAATTATGATCTTCTCGAGATCACCAGAAGGACTGCAGACAAATATCCACAAGCTGAATGACGCGAGAAGCAAAACAGGACTGACACTGAATATGATGAATATTCAGACCATGTGGAACAAATACGTGATCTCGTGGCCTGTTGAAAACAATGTTCGAACATTAAGTTGGAGGAGGTGCGACACAATGGGGGGGGGAGGGCGGAACACTTTGGAAGCTATAAAATCTGCCCTTCTGAGAAGTGACACCTGTTCTTAAAACAGGCAGTCTCTGATCAATGCATGCTCTCAGCATTTACGTATGGGTAAAACAGAACAGAACAGAACCTCTAAGCGGCAAAGCCGTTTGTAAACAATAGACGGCGCAACGCAGAACGGAACAGTGTATACTTGAAACAACGAGAAGAAATGAGACGATCAACCAGGAGCTGGCGATGTCAGTGCAAGAGAACAGGAGTGAAAATCGCAATAGAGAGGGCAAGCTGCTAGAGGAACGAGGCAGCGCTGGACCAAAGAGGTTCTGCTCTGCAAATATCTTCCGTTTTAAGGTGGCCAACATGTGTGGGAATATTGAACGTGCCGCCGTCTCCAACCTTTATTAGACGAACCTCATGTAGGAGCCTCATTACTTAATGGAAAACCTGAGT